CTTTCTGCACTAGAGCTAGAGCTTGAAAAGTGTTAAATCAAAGGGGTGAGTCTAGTCACTCAATAACTAAGGTCAAACTTACCCTATGCAGTTATATATCAATATAAGCCAAGTACATGCATAAGGAACCTCGTATGTAAACATGCTCACACATATCATAATTTGTCATTTATCTTTTAATAACTTCTTTAACTCACATATACTAGGTGCATTGTCACCATATTCTTAGATATATGACCTTGACCCATTATTCACGCGACTTGCCACAACTTAACACGTGTGACATGTCATATATTTATATAGGTAATGACCAACCAACCTAATATCCTCCTTATTTCCTTAGACCGAAACCATAGGCTATAACATTGATTAGGGCTCTGTCCGTATGACTGGACTACCCAAGCTTACCAATCGTCAGGTGTGACTCGACCAAAGATCACATGACTCACTCTCAGACCATGGCTTCCCCCATTCTTGAATCTCTGGGGCGTCTCATACCCTAGGCTATTCTCCTCATTGAGCTGGTGGAGATAGCTAGGTTTTAGTCCCTCGACAAACTATAGAATAGTCCCTTGACAAATTGTGGGACAAGGCTATACCCTCGTGCATCAAAGGACAGCCTAAATACTATATGAATTTTTCTCTACTCCTAGTCCCTAGGCAAACTTTCACCACTGATGATGCCATAATCAATACTCATTCATTTTCATATTTTCATTTTCATTTACTTATTATCACAACAACCACGTTGGGCTCATGACCATACATTACCCAAGTATGTATTCACATCATTTTCTCAACATTATTCTCACTTATCTCAAAATTCATTTCTTATTAATGTTGAATAGGGAGGCACATCAGAAGATTAAATTTTTAAAGTCTCTATCCTAATATGGATTGAACAATCTCGTTTAAATTAAGGTAGATAGAAGAGTTGCCTTTTAATTCTTCAAACTTGGTGCACGTTCTCTTCAAGAGTTTGTATCTTAGGAGCTGACAACATAAATATGCTTCTTCTATTGGTATCCACACGAACAGTTCTCTAACTGGAATAGTGTGCTAGCGCTCCTAGCGTCCGTTCTTCTTTGAAGTTAGTTTTCTTTCTATAGGGTGTTTTGTGGCTCTTAAAGTGTTTTTGCCGTCAGAACTTTTCTAACTCTCTATTCCTTTATAAAGGATGTCCTTATCTATATATAGTATATGGATTAAGGTTTTCATCTTTTACTTAAAAGCCCACAAAAATCTAATTAAATTTATCTCATAAATTTAATCCATGATATCATATCTAATTCAAATTTATCTTATAAATTTAAATTATAAAACTGACATGATATTCTCTCATATCGTGTTAGTTATTAAATTTAATCTATCATATAAAATTAAATTTAAAACTAATATAATATAATATAATATAATATATATCACATATACATATTATATTATATATATGTTCAGATATATATATATATACATATATATTTTGAAAACACACACACACACACACATATATATATTATATCATATATATATATAACACACATGAATATATATATTTCAAATATATATATATATATATAATTATATTTTAAATTTTATATTTCTTATAAATATATATATATATTTATCAAATAAATATTCAAATATATATATATATATATATAATTCATTCACCCTATATTACATTCATTGAATTTAGACATATTTCAGATTTAATGAACTTAGATATTGTAGCTAGAGTTGGGTTGTTTTTGTGTGCAACCCTATAGGCTCATATGAAATTAGCAGTAGGCTAATTACGCTGTTAGTCCACAAATCACAAGTGGCCTTTAGCAAGACATTGCAAGTACCCAATTTATATGAGAATTGATGATCTGATGTAACCTATCATGCAATCGTATCACATCCCTTTTGTCACGTGATATTTTGGTCAAGTATGAGACATGGAATTGTCATTCTCCTTTACCTGACTGTTACTTTCTCGATTTCTGAGTGAATTGATAGTAGTAATGGAAAAACCCTTTTCATTATAGTATGGCCATACATTTTCTCAGTTTTACTCATTGAGGGGCCTAGTAATATGTCTCACTTAATATGAATGACAAATTCCATCTTGACTACTCATTTTCCTCTATATGAATATCACTAAACTTAATTATAGCTTTAATGATCACCTAGTCAAAGGTGACTTTTGACTAGGTCAAATTCAGTGATCATCATGTATGAATACATGATGATCTCAAGTCAAAGGGCTTAGTGATATAGTTACATATGAGATAAGCTTATGACTTGTACCATGCAGCTTTCTTATAGCTGGTCGGTCCAGCACATTGTACTCTTTCAAGTGGCTATGACTTTGATTTGTATTTCTATAATTAATCAAAGTTATGCTAGTCTTGTTTCATCTATGATCCATCATAGATGACCGACTAGGGACATTTAGGACAATCACTATAGTTTGTCCAATAATACAGTTATCATATTGAATATATAATTGATATGATAATAAAAGAGAAATTCATTAAATAACAATGTGTATAGTATAATGATTGGCCCTAGGGCACAATTTCCAACAATTAACACACATCTCTCTCACACAATCATCACATTCATTTTCCAAAGGCATATGCAGGTTCAAAGTCTGAAAACTATCTTGATTTCACATTTGTATTTCAAACTAAAAATAGCATTATGCACATTCAAATTTTCATACACCCATTGAAACTAATACATGCTTTCATATTGAGAATCAATTCATGCATGCAACATTCACAATTAGAAATAAATTTACAATCAATTAACATATAACTACCCAAAGTAGGGTTCCCTCGGTTACCTCAAACGTTTGAGAGGTCAAAGGTTTACCCCTCAATCTACTAGCTTTCAAGCTTGAATTTTCTAATCCAATAGGTGATTGAGAGCCAAAAATTATAATCAACCAAGTTGAATTTCATCAACACTACCATCTCAAGTATTAAACCTTCAATTTTCACTTCTAAATTGCCCAACAGTTACTCTACTAGAATTTGAGCTTATCCCTTGACTTTAATTATTACCTTTAGTCCCCAATAACATTAATGAATCATTAAATTTCTATTAATGGCATTACAATCTTCCAACCACCCATAATAAATGAGATTTTTAGATATTAATGGTGCCTAACAACTCAAGACACCAAAACTCATTATACCTAGGTTTAAATACTCTAATTTGCTTTTATTAACTCCATTTGAGTCAATAAATTTGGACCCTTAATCTATATGGACCAAAATTTCATTTTCACTATCAAACCCTAACTATAAGGAGTGTGGTACTTATCTTGGGTGTTTATAGCCTCCAAAATACTCCCAATATCATCTACTAGCAAACCCTAGCAGAGCTTGGTGCGTCCTCTTTGTTCTCTTCTTTCTCTTCTTTCTTTTCTATCTCAGGTTTGCATCTAATAAATTGTAGAAAATGGCCATACATCATGGTGGACACACAATGCACTGTGGTGCATGGCACAGAGAGGTCCTCCCTCATATCAGAAGTGTCTGTGCATTGCAGCGGACGATCTTTATATCACAGTGTGTGGCACAACAATATCACTCTTCATTTTTCTTCTCCTTTTGATGCCCGGGTGGCCTGCCTTAATACCGGATCCATAATTAGGGCTAAAATATAATTAAATATGCTTATTAGACCTCCCTAGCCACACATCACTTCAACTAACTTAATTACTCTAATTAGGTTTAATTAATTAGGGGATTAAAATTGGGATGTTACACAGGTCATTTAGAACATAAGCAATTCATCTCTATTGAGGTTTTGTTTTATTTATTTGTTGAATAAAATTTCACCTTCAAATATAAACCTTTTTTTTAGTTATCTAGTAGTCTTGCCCTTTCTAACAAAATACATGTTTCTTTCTTTATTCAAATTCTTACTTAGAAATCAAATGAAGAGGGGCATCTAGTCAACATATATTTTGTTTGGATCATTGTCAATTATTTACAGCATATTTCTATATTTCCCATTTACATCACACCACCTCACCACATTTTTGAAAAAAAAGAAGAAATCATTTCATTGTGTTTGTTATCCAATAGTCTCACATTCAATTATATCTAATCGTGTCAGGGGCAATTAGGTTATTTCATAGATATTGTATGGTTGATCAAAATACATATTCTATCTTTACTTATCACTTATGTAAGAATCCAAAAATATATTTTTTCATATACTTAGATAAGAAACAAGTAAAGAGGGGTAATTGTGAATACTATATTTTGTTTGAACTTTTTTTTATTATTATAATAAATTCAACCATAAAAATGAAATTCTAATAATATAGATAAAATAAAAAAATTAATTAAATAAGGATTGGTTTTATTCTTAGCGTAAGTAATTTTCTATTAGCTAGGATTTTATTTCTTTTAGTTAGTTAAAAAGCAACCAAATATATCTATATAAATAATACAAAAAATTTAATTCTTTGTTTAAAATTTAATTCCCAAAAGAAATATTAATTCTTTTTTTAAGAATCATATTTCAAAAAAATTGTTAAAAATAAGTGATGAAAATGTTGATATTTAATTCTTTTAAGAATTATATTCCGAAAAAATAATAATTATAAAAATAAAATTTAATTCTTTTTAGGATTATATTTTTTTAAAAAAAAGTAATAATAAAAACATAAGGAAGATTAATAAATTTAATCTCTTTTCAGAATCATTTTTGAAAAAAAAATATTGCTTAAATCTTGAAAAATCTCTCTCAAATTATCTCAACAATTCAAAGATAATAAGAATTAACTTGTTGGGAGTTAAATATTTTTAAATTTCCATTTAAAAAAAAGAGAGGATATTCTTGGTCCATTCAAAATCAAATTTTCCTTCCTAACTAATTTTTAAAAATTACCATTAAAAAACAATTTTTTTTAAAACATTACAAAATAATATATTAAGGAGAGTGAAATGCTGATCTCTGTAGTGTTTCACTCAGCCCTTATATCCCTTCTGCAGAAGTGAAGAAAAGCAGTCGATTGTAGAGGAAGGCAGTATATCCCTTTTGCACGAGCGAAGAAAAGCAGCTGGACGCAGGGGAAGGCAGGAAAAAGCTTCACTCTATAGAAGACTCGCATGAACGAGAGAGAAGAGATGCAGGTGTGGCTCTATCCAAGGTCACAATCAAATTTCAAAACGCAGCAATCAGAGAGCAGTGAAGCACGCAAACAGTTTTCTAGCCTCTCATGCAAGCTCCAGACAAAGGATATGTTTTATCCGTTTCTATGGATGTCAGCAATGAAGAAGGGCAGCTCGACAGATGAAATCCAATGCCGTATGAGGAAGGAGAAGTGGAATTGAGTCAGAGTTTGCAGATTCACGCTACCAGGTATTTTTTTCATCTTCAATATAAAGGAGAGAACAAAAGAGACCGAGAGGGGTGGAAGGAGAGATTCAGGGAGATTTTTAGAGTTATGGGTTTTGAGAGAAGAAGCAGGTAGAGTTCAAGGGCTAGAAGAGAGTGATCCAGGCAAAAATAGAGGATGCAATCGAAGAGTACTGAATATTCAAAGGAAAGGGAGAAGAGCCAATTGAAGATACCCATATCTCTTTACTGTAATAGGTTTGGAATTAAATTTTTCGTGCTTTACATTCTTACTCTACCTTTTGATCCTATGATCTATTTCATGTTCTACTCTATAAAAGTTTGATTAGCTTTACGAGTGCAGTAATTTTGACTGTGTGCATACTTTCGAATTCCGTATCACTTGAAGGAATTTTATGAGTGTTTGTTTCATTCAGATTTTATAGGTTGTATAGATTAAAAGGTTAGAAGTAGTTTGTTTGATGTTTATCAAAATTTCCTACTGTGGGTTGATGATGGCTTTAATAAGAATATTGAGTTCATATTCTGTTAACATATTGCTATGGATTTTGATGAATTGTGTGTGCCTGTGGGTATGCTTAAGATATCAATTAGAAAAAGTGGCACAAGAAGTTAGGCACCATATTGAATTCTTGGATATAATTTGATGAAACCTGATTCCTTTAGTGTGGACTTAGGTGTTTAAGATTGCTAATATGCTTGCTTTGCAATTTGGCTGTCTCAGAGATTTTTCAAGAATTTTGATCACATGGCTTTATGATTTTGTATATTTGACAGCTGGAATTAGGGTTGTGCAAAATTCCTCCGATTTTGTCTAGCTTTGTTTAACTTGAGATAGCTCAGTCCAATTCTGTCCATATAAGCACTGGTCTTTTAAGACCAAAAAGACTGAAAAGACAGACTATTTTTTCAGGTTGGATTGGATAGGAGACTGGGTATCTAAACAACTTGGTCCAGTCTAGTCCTATTAATTTATTTAATATAATTATAATTTATTTATTTTTGACAAAAGCTTTAAATGTAATTGATGCTAAGGAGATGATTGTATGAAGATTTGTTGTGTTTGTTTTTAAATTGTTGTTGTAATATAGTGTTATTGAAGTTTGTTGAGTGTTTTTTTTATTGAAGTTATAAATTTAAATTATTTGGACTGTAACTAAAATATTTTTTTCTTCTTGTTGAAAATTATTATGGATTTATTATGATTATAAGTTTTTCTATTATTTTAATTGAGTTTATTAGGTTAAAATAGATTATTGCCTCTTATAGAGAAAAAGGAAAAAAATTAAGTAAATACTGGACTAACAATACCAGTCTGCCAGTCCAATAGACCAATTCTGATCCTGTTAAACTTCAGGTTATCATTGGACAAGACTGGATTACAGGTTGTCTAACTAGTCCTTTTCATGAAAGAGACCAAACTTTGAGTTAGATTGAAGTCCAGTGCCATCTTGTCCTTTATGCAGCCTCAGCCTGAAATATCACATGAAAACACCTTTTGTTAAAAAAAGAAAAAGGAAAAAGAAAACTTGGTGGAGCCTTTGGCTTCAACTACCATATGCTTGGCTTTAGATGGCAAAATGTGATTTGAGTTTGTTCTCTTTAAAGTCAAAGTCTGTACACACCTTTAGAACATTTTAGGCTCTTTGATTAATCTTAGAATTTTCACTTTATGCTGATTGCAAATGTTTGCTTCAATGGTCATTAATTTGTTTGTCAACTTCAAGAAGAACACATTCCCATTTATGAAGTTAAAATCGTTTGCTACAATGTTTTGATAATTGAACTATCAACAAGATTTAATCCCGCATGTGTATGACATGTACTTTTAAAATTTTGTGCTTTAGTTCTTAATTTATATGACTTCAATTGTCCCGAATAAGTATTCAGTTTAGATGCTTAGTATTCGGTTTGAGTAAGATCACTTATATGCTTATGATGGGTTTAAATTTAGATGATTGGAGCCTATTTGGTCTTGCTATTTTTGATTGCTAGAATATGTAAATCCTTAAAGCTTTGGGGTCCTGTAATGTTTCATGGGGTAACCATAATAAGTGGAATTTAGTAAAGCTCGAACCACATACATTTTGTCTTTAGGGTGTTTGAAATTTTAGTCTCGACAATGATCACTTGGTTTTGAGTAATTTGATGCCTATATCTAATAATGTGTTAAGGTATACAAGAGTATAAACTTTATCATACTTTTGGCTACTTGATATGAAGATACACGTATGCATAATGGATATTTGAGGTGACATCTGTTTCCTGTTGATGGATCTCATTTTTTTTTTAATGTTGTATCAGCTTAAGTACGTCTATAGCGGAAAGGATTCTATTTTTTTCTTGGTGAGTGGAAATCACGGAGGGGATAGAGAGCTATATTTGTGGACATGATACTGCGTTGTTTTGTTTTAAATCATGAGATCAGAATATAAAACAAGGGGAATACATTTATTTACTATCCATTTTTTGTGTGAGATTTTAAGAATCCTCATAGGCATTTAAAATGATCATCTACTGTATAAATCAATAAAATTTTATAGGTATGAAGATTCAATTTATATATTAAACATAGATTCCAATGACCTATTATTTAAATTAATAATTTTGTTTTTATCTTTTCTTTGATTTAAATCACTTAAATAGTATCATGTGAGATTTGAAAAATCTCTGTATAATTGTCTTATTATGTGGAATAATAAATTCTCATAGATGTTGCGATTACTAATTTATATAATAAATAAATAAACAGATTTTGTAAATAATAATATAATAAACATTTAAAAATAAAACTAACTAATTAATTATTTAACTTAATTTATTTGAATAATAATTGTTAAATTTTTTAGTCATATGAGATTTTTGAATCTTTATAGATTTTTAAAATAATCATATTGTTATATGAGTCAATAAAATTTTGTAGGTATAACGATTAAGTTTTTTTAAGAAATATATACATACACAATAAATCAAATAAATTAAAATATATATTGAAAAAAATAATATTATTTAATCCTTTACTATGTGAGGATCTTGAATCTCCACAAATATTTAGAATAATCATATTATCGTATAAGTCAATAAGGCTTTGTAGGTATAATGATTAAGATTCTTTAAAAATGTATATACATGATTAAAAAAATAATTCTTACACTTAAAATATAATAAGTAAACTAAACTAAGTCATTGCACTCTTTTATCGTACGAGATTTCAAGATCTTCACAAATATTTAAGGTAATTGTATTACTGTATGAGTCAATAAAGTTCTACAGGTACAGTAATTAAATTTCTGAATAATAATAGAAAAGCAAAATAATTTTAAACTCTTTTTCTGTTTCTTATTTCAAAATTCAAAAATTGAGGAAATAATTGAAATTAAATTATTTTTTGCAATTCAAAACATACATATCAAAATTTTAGAAAATTATTTTATTTGCAAAAAAGTAAGTTATTTCTAGTTAATTTCTCTTCAAAAAAATATTTTCACCAACAAATTTATAATCCCAAACTACATGTACTTTGATTCCTATCGTAGAGTACGTAGGCCTCAGAGTCTGATTTGGAGTTAAGTCCTCTCTTATAAATAAATAAATATTCCTTATTTTATTATCATTATTTTTTATATCTAACATATGAATAAGAAAGGGATAATTCAAATAACTTTAAAGCCATATTAATTTAGCTCAAGAAACTTCAGGTAACCGTTCTCACGAATGGGTATTGTGGGGTGCTTAACACCTTCTCTATACTCAATCGACTCTTGAACCTATTTTCTAATTTTGTAAGACTATCTTTATCTCCTTTAAATGGTTTCTCGAGATCTTTCTCAAAATTTTAGTGACGACTCTCATTTAGTCGGTTTTTGCTCCGAAGGTCAAAACCTCCACTCTTGTATGTCGTCCTCATTGCAATTTCAACTGCGAAACTCTTGTTATTTGATTTGCTTCTTGTTGAATTTGCTGGTCATTCATGTTAATGCTAGGATCAGCACTGCTTGGTCCACTATGACCAGTTCTCTTTTGAGAAGTCATTTACCTCCAAAAGTATAAAAACAAAATAAATAATAAGTAACAGTATAAAAAAATAAAGCACATAATAAATAATAATAGAAAATTAAATCATACAAAACAAATAACCTACAGGTTTAAATTGTTCTTTTCTTTTTCTCGTATGTTCCTTATCTTTTCTCTCTTTCTTTAATTGAATGGTTTTTACCTCTTTTCTTTAAAATTCAAATACCTTCATTGTGATCATTTAACAAATAAAAGGCTTTATCCTCAATGAAGTAATTTTCAAATGATGTCCCTATAAATGGATCATCTTCAACTGTAGAATTATTCATATCTTTATTTATTTTATTGTTGAAGAAAACAATGGACCAATTTACTTCAGTTGGATTCGGAATAACGAACACTTGTTGAGCTTGTAAAGCTAAAATAAAAGACTTGTCTTTATAAACTTCTCTATTAAGATCCATCATTAAGAAACCTAAGTCATTAACTTTAAGACCATTTTTACGATCAACTTTCTTATAACCAAAAATTGAATCTTGAAATTTAATGTAATTTAATTCCCAAATATGCTCAATTATACCAAAATATGACATCTTTTCATGCAAAGAATTTTTGTCTTTAGTACTAAACATATGCATTGCTTGGGCTATAAAAGTTACACCACGATTTTGCATTGTACACTGATCATCTTTCTCTTTAGTATAAAATGTGTGCCCATTAATGAGATAGCTAGTGAGGGAAAGAACTTGTTTATTTGGACCTCTTTCCAGCCATTTTAATTTTTGAGAAATTTAAATCAAGATTGACAGGCAACTTCTCAAGAATGTGCTATTTTAGCCAAACTCTACAACTCTTATTGTGCTTGTGACTAAGGTTGTCACTACCCTAGAAAAATATTACCAAGTTACACTAATGTAGTGATAATATGAACTTAGGTCATTCTTTTATGAGGAAGTTTAGTTAAAAATTTAAGTTTGATGTGTGTTACAAGTTAAAAGGTGTGTGGGACAGATTTAAACTCAAACCTAATTAAGCTATTAAACCTAATTTTAAAGTGAATCAAGTGGATGTGTGAAAACCTATTAAAAGTAGGAACTCTTATATAGATTTAGTCACCTATGCTTGTTTGATCAAGGCCTAGTTAGTGTGGTCTCTTCTCTCTTCTCTTTGGTTTTAGTGACCTAGTTATATTATCCAAGACTTAGCTAATACCTTGACCAATGCCAATCCAAGAATATGGTCTCAGAGTGAGCCAAAGAATAGCTAGCATTAAGCCTAACCAAAGTGTTACAAACATGAGTCAATTAGGTCAAGCACATATAAGGGAATCAACATGCTCAAGATTATGATTCATAAATATATTTACA